CAGCCTGTCCAGGTCCCTCTGGACAAGAAAAAGAAAAGAAAAGGAGCGATTTCCTCACGTCAGCTCCGGTATCTTCTCTCGGAGCTACTCTCCTGGCACACCTCTCCATCATCTGTAAGGCTAACAAAAAGGAAGCACTAGTGAAAGCAAAACAAAGCAGGAGCAGAAGCAAGCCAGAGTAAGAAATATGTTGCCTCACACAGCTCACCAACATGACTTCTGCCCAATTTTAAAGGCTGGAAAACTAGCAGCTTCGGTTGAGCGCGGAAGGGCTGAACCACTGGTTTTCGGTCCAGATTAACTGTGCTGTCATCACTCTTGCAGGCTGTATTTACACAGGGGGGGTATTACTCCTCACCTGAGTCCCACGTGACAGAAGACAGACCATAAACTCATCAAGACCCTAAACTGTACCGCCGGTTTAGCACTACGGCGTTTTGCTGACCAGTACACGTGCAGATGGTCTCGTGGGGGGATGTATTTTCATTGCCAACACGTGGAACACAATAAACCAGCCTTATCTTTTGTCATGCACCTCAGTGCAAATGACAGCACGAAGTTAATTACCTCTGCCAATCACCGCTTTAGAAGACCGTTGTCTTTGCGCGCGTGCTAATTGCGAAACTACTCTTCATCAAGCTCTGAATTAAGCTGCGAGTTCGTAAGAGCTGAACGCACTCGTTGCACCTTCTCCGTTTGCCCAGAAGGGTGTTTCATTTCCTTTTTTCAACCCCCCGGCCTGACATCACGGGGATAAACGGACAAGTAGGCGCAAAACGCAGAAGGAAACGGTGGGTTACCAGGTATGGCCGAGGTCTGTGCTTGACAGCGACACCACTGCTGTCAGGGACTGCAGTTAGCCACAACCCCCCAGCTCCGTGGCTGCCAACAGTCACTGCCTGGAGGAACGGGTACAATCCTGCCTCCACGCCGGCACCGCTGTGACACTGCCAGGTACCCACGACAGAGCTCTTCATTCTGCCGGTTTGAGTTCCACCTACACAGAGACGATCCATTTTCCTAGCGGGAACAGCCATCCCAAAGTTAACGCCACCGTCGTTCGTGCTCTTGCAGCTTCACATCACTAAATCCGAGTCCTGCAAAATTTTTAGTGGCCTTTTAGCCCACACAACTAATCCAACAAAGAAGCAGCTGGATTTAACGAGGTTTGAAAAACGCAGCCGACCCCTGCAGGGTCAGGCATCGACGCGTTGAGCTCTGAATGAAAAGGAAAAGCAGCCGCAGTGGTGCAGGGCGAGCGCCGGGGCAGCACAAAGCATCCACTGCCGCCTAATTGGGAACAACCCACCCAGGGAACCCTCGTAGGTGCTAGAATCCCAACGGAACAGCTACAGCAACCACCTTCACGTTGTTACTTGTGCTATTACCACCCAGGTCACAGCATGCAGAAATAAACCACATCAAGTCATCCGAATAAAACCACGTAAAAGTAGCCATTCTCCAAGAAGAAACACGGCTTTGTCTTACGAACACAGCAAAGCTCCACTGTCAGTGAAAATGCGAGATTTCTCCAAATTAAAAATCGGCTCACGTACAGCTACAGGTGGGGGAACCCACCTTAAGCATCCAGGTTAACCACAGCAAAGATGAAAGCGTGGGAAACCAAGATCCCCCAGTTAGCAACGCCAATTCCTACGTCTGTAGGATCTTACAAAATACAAATTCCAAGAGTTAGCGCATGGCTGAAGATTCTCGCTGCTACGACTCCATAGTTCACAAACAAGTAAGTAGACCGAGTACGAAACTGCCAGTACCAAACAAAAGGCCTGTTTTAAAGGTGTCGTTTTACCTGTTTCTAAGGATGCAGCTGGCTGCGCCTCCATGTGGGGACAAAGAGGAACGCTACCACATTTATCCACCCGGTAAGTCGTGTTTTATAAGGCCAAGCAACACTGCATACAGCACAGCATTCCTCAGCACAGCTGGGCATACTAATCCAAGCACACAAACAGATGCCAATCCTGTTTAATTAATCCAACGTGGCGTTTACTTTTCACGCGTTACGATGGAAGAGGAGCACTCGGAAGAACGATATCCTATGGAGGTAATGAACTGCAGTTTCACTGGAGTCATTTAAGAGCTCAGTAAGTTTTGTAAATGGACCAACCTCCCCTCCATATCCATTAATTCACTTCTCCCCCTTTATTACAGAAAGGTCATTTATTAACATTAGCTCCTTTTTCACAGAAACCCCAGATTTTACAAAGTTACCAATTACATTCTGCGTGATGCCTTGGCAAGGACTGCAAGCTTTTATTCCTCTGATCAGAAATTATTCCAAAGAAACACTGAACTGATGCAAAAGCATCAGTTTCTATGCTTCGAATTTGGTATTTTCGGTAAAAGTAATGGTGATTTTTGAAACAAAACCAAAACCCCTCAGTCCTTCACAGAAAGAGACCACAACTTGAGACAGTGATGGACTGCAGGTGGAGGAAACACACACGATGAAGCGTCACAGGAACTGAATCCCGACTTGGATACCGCAGCATCTAGTTGATGCTGTGCTCTGACAGGAACTGGTTAACACTCCCAGAATCTGGTGTTGAAATTACACTACAAACCAAAACATTTCAACAATACCGAGTTACGCACATTCTGCCCCAAAACCAGACGGTGGAAATTCTTTCCATTTCTCTCAGGAACACACACAAACCACAGCACGGCTCAAGGATCCGCTGACAAGACACACCTTAAAGGAAAAATGCCTGTGGAAAGTTTTCCTCTATTACCGCCTCAGTAGCAGCATTTCAGTGTCTCTTCAGACCATTCCTAGTAGTTTGTTCTCCTGGCCCCAGAACATGTTCCCAGTTGACCCTGGATGTTGGATGAACACATGGATAGAGTACGGCTTTCACAGCAAAAGATGACATTAAATAGGGAATTAGAAGGTCAGCAAACGAGAACACAGGTATCCAGGGAGGTGTTCAGTGTGAAAATCATCTACAACGGAAGAAAAAGTAAAATTGACCGCGTCCCTCTGACCCCCTATCGTACCTATGTGATGGAAAACTTCACACAGCTTACCCTTCACCTTACTTCAAATCACACCACTTCTGCCACTGCTTAGAAGAGTGACAGGGATAAAACAACTGGTTTGGTAGACTGCAGGAACAAACCGCTCCAGGCACTCCTTCCCAGCCTCGACCACGCGTACGTTTGTTTGAAGAGAGTTCGCACCAAGCGCCGCAAGAACGCAATGACATTCCGAGAAATGGATGCCAACCTCCACTCCACATCTGTCACCAGCGTAACGCTAATCGTCACCACTTTGGGTGAGGACAGTGCAGAAAGGGTTTTTTTACTGAGCCCCGAAGTGGGAATGAGTACTTTGTTATGGGCAAGAAGCAAATGCAGTAGTTCTTCCTACAGGTAACTGAATTTTACAGAAGGCGGACATTTTCAGCTTGTCTTGGTTTCATTTGGTCACACAAAATGAAGAAACTCCAGGTTCCAAGGCCACAGGGATCTGCTAAGCGCACACAGGCTCTGGTGGACGCACAAATTCCTTAGTTGTTGCATTGAGCTGAGCCGTTACAGAAGCAGCAGTTCCCTGGTTTGACTCAAGCTGGTGGACGCACAAATTCCTTAGTTGTTGCATTGAGCGCACTTTGGTTTTGAGAACCTTCAGTGTTCCACTCCTCCCCCTGCCAGTTCAGCTGGGAAATCATCCAGAACTTACTTTAAAGCTGTTCTTAAGTCACTTGATGAGACAAAAATAAGACTGTTGCACTGAAGTGAGTTTTGGGGTCCCTGGTTTGACTCAAGCTGGTGGACGCACAAATTCCTTAGTTGTTGCATTGAGCGCACTTTGGTTTTGAGAACCTTCAGTGTTCCACTCCTCCCCCTGCCAGTTCAGCTGGGAAATCATCCAGAACTTACTTTAAAGCTGTTCTTAAGTCACTTGATGAGACAAAAATAAGACTGTTGCACTGAAGTGAGTTTTGGGGCAAACGCACTGGAAGTGTCTCCCATTCATCAGAGACAGACCAAACAAAGGCTGCACAGGAAGTGGGTATTTCTGAACCAGGGCATCTAAAAGAGATCCCACCTGCCTGCATGAGAGCAGCTTCAGTGAAACAGGTGGCCACTGAAGTCTGGGAATGGGAACTGAACTTGTATCTAGTATTCTGTATTTTGTGTGAAAACTCTGTGTGCCAGTCTTCACATATCACTCAGAGGTCTAAACGCCAGAAGAACAGATGAAAAAAACGACAGGTATTTAGAACTGTGAAGCCTAAGTTCTCCTATATACATATATAAATTAACTTATATCATCATAGTATCAAACTGCATAGCATTACACAAGAAGGCAACCTGAATGGCAGAAACGAAAACATCTGAATGTTACCAACCCCGTTATTCACATTCCGGCATTTGTAGTGCCACAGAGGCAACTGCTGCCAGTAACAGAGCCCCCATTTAAGCAAAGTCTGCCTTAATTCCAGGGAATGCAGAAACAATTAATCTGGACAAGTTGGTGCACGTCCTGCTTTCACGTCCTCCGAGCAGGTTTTGCTGTTAACTGCTTCTCTCTTTCAAGTTCCTTCTCACGTTGCTGTTCTCGTTCCAGTTCTTCCTTCTGTCTCTTTTGTTGCAGCTTAAGTGCTCTCTTCTAAACAAAGAAGACAAGAAAATTATGGCAAGGTTTGTAGCTGTATTTATGTTGGGGCTACCAACAAAAACCCCTGCCCTCACTCTCTGAACATTCTCTTCTCCAAGGCACCCTGCTTACGACCAAACGTTGCATAAACCGTTGATTTCTTGCCTCCCACTGCCATTTTCCTGTTCAGAAACAGCAAGTCTGGGAGCTATGCTGGGAAGATACAGACTGGCTTCCCTCCAGACATCCTTTGGGCGTGCCAGGCAAGGTGCAACTCACTGCCTCCAAGAGAAAACGCTGCTGTTGAACATACCGGAAGGCTGATCTTGCCAGAACATAACCAGGGACTGCCCACACAGCGTGAGGTCAGTGCATGTCTGCCACCGGTGCCATTACATTAAACAGAAGGAGAAATTCTTGCATTTATGAGAATCTGCTTCTGGTTAAAAAGGCACAGAAACTGGAGCCACAAGAGAATGGGATGGAATGGAGTGGATTAAGCGACAGAACAAAGTGTGATGCTCATACCACCTCAACATAACGACACTGCTGAGTAGTTCAGCTGCGTAACTCGCCTGAGCACAGGAAAGAGTAAGTGAAAGTTTAAAAACACACGGCTTGGTGCTACTGAAAACATCAATTCAAGGTAAGGATTGAAGATTCCATTTTAAGCAGAACTTTCAGCATGCATCCAAACCAGAAGTCAGTAACAGATCATTCAAAACCTGTGTTGCAAAGCAAAAAATATTTATCCCACTCACTTTTAACTTTGATGTCTTCTCATGAAGCATCATCATTTCGTTTCTAATATTCACCAGCTTGTTGTGATAGTGCTTAGCTTCTGAAAACTTAAAAACCATAACCGTTAGGGCAGTGACTGTCAAGCTGGAATAGTTGTTTCATAAAGCTACACCACAAAACAGCAATCAGAAACGTAAGCTATTACCAGAACAGTTCTATAAGGGATTAGACATGTTCAAGTTCATCTATAAAGCTCAATCGTTATAAGTATTAATACAGAAAACTACCATATCCCAACAGGTACACCCAGTAATCTCCTGAATTCAGATGCATTAAACAGAATAAAAATATTACCCTTTTATGCACCATGTATCAGTGTTTCCTGCACCCTTCCTGTTAGTCTGGAGTGGTGCACAGAGCTCACGCGGGAGCCTCAGCCCTACCTCATGCCATCCAGAGGGACCTGGACAGGCTGGAGAGGTGGGCCACTGCCAACCTCATGGTGTTCAACAAGGCCAAGTGCAAGGTCCTGGACCTGGGTCGGGGCAATCCCAGCACAAGGACAGGCTGGGTGGAGAGTGGATGGAGAGCAGCCCTGAGGAGAAGGACTCGGGGTGCTGGAGGATGAAAAGCTGAACATGAGCCGGCCGTGTGCGCTGGCCGCCCAGAAAGCCAACCGTATCCTGGGGTGTATCCAGAGAAGTGTGGCCAGCAGGTCGAGGGAGGGGATTCTGCCCCTGTACTCTGCTCTGGTGAGACCCCACCTGGAGTGCTGCGTCCAGCTGTGGAGCCCCCAATATCAGAAGGATATAGACTGGTTGGAGCGAGTCCAGAGGAGGCCCCGGAGATGCTCCGAGGGCTGGAGCCGCTCTGCTATGGGGACAGGCTGGGAGAGTTGGGCTTGTTCAGCCTGGAGAAGAGAAGGCTCCAGGGAGACCTTATAGCACCTTCCAGTAGTGACAGCACAAGAGGTAACAGGTTTAAATTGAAGGTGGGGAGGTTTAGATTAGATATCAGGAAGAAGTTCTTCCTGGAGAGGGTGGGGAGGCACTGGCACAGGTTGCCCAGAGAAGCTGTGGATGCCCCATCCCTGGAAGTGTCCAAGGCCAGGCTGGATGAGGCTTGGAGCAACCTGGTCTAGTGGAAGGTGTCCCTGCCCATGGCAGGGGGTTTGGAACTGGATGATTTTTAAGGTCCCTTCCAACCCAAACCATTCTATGATTCCATGAAAAATAGCATACATTTCCTTCAGCTACTGGTTTTGAACAGCTGGAACAGTTTTTGAACCACTGGTTGACTGAGCCTGCTCTTTCTTCCCAGTGCCTTTCCTATTTCAGGGAAATATGCTGGTTCCACACCCTCTCCAGCAACCATTTGTCCTGAATATCTGAACCTTCCGGTTCTCTTCCTGCAGGTCATGAAGAACGAGGTAAACACACAAGTGACTATTAATGCTTCAGCAAGAAAATCGATGCTAGCAGAGATTTAAGAAAGCATTGTTAGTACTTACCAAGGCGTTGATATCAAGGATGGAGTTACACTCCTTGAATTTTGAAATTTCTTGTTCTAATGTTTCTAGTAATACCACTTGGTTCTGTCTGAAACAAAGATGCACAAAACCAAGTAAAGCAGCATATAAGCTTTTCAACCAGCCCTTTAAATAAGCACTACTTTTGATCATAACAGTATAAATACAGGCTTCCTGACAGCAGATCCCTCTCACGCATTGTTTGGTGATTCCAATACAGACAGGAGTCAATGGTTTTTGAAAAAAGCCAGCTGAGTATACACAATTTCAGCTGGCATCACACGGCGTGGTAAGATATCCAGGATGAGTATCCGAAAACCCTGAACAGGCCCTCTGCGGGCTGCAGTCACTAAACACCCCAGGTTGAATGAAGGGGAAAAACAATAAGCTCTTGACCTCCCACTCAGCTGCCTTTGCGTCACGCTGCGGGACAGAGTTATTTCTGTACAGAACTTGCGTGGATCCTCGGTGCTTATTAAGGATCTTCCATCCCACACAAATCAGCTACAGTCTTTCCAGACACAGGCTGTCCTTGGCAGCAGCATAAGCACATCATGAAACCCAAACTAGTGTACCCTGCAAAACCTGAAATGGCCCTGGGTAAAGTCCTTTCCAGTACCTTTGCATCCGTGGCAGATCTGGTCTGCATCCGAAATAAACTACTCTCAGTATCCGTGAGGTGCTAACATACAGTGTTCTTATCTGTTTAGTTCCTCCATTGTATTTTCCAAGTCTATCTTTTGCAACGCAGTTTAGAGCCTGGACAACAAATATATATTGCACTACAGGCTGCCCTGAGTCTGAACTGCATCTCTGCAGGCAAAAGAAATCCAGCTTTCACAGACTTTCGGCTACAGAAGTGAACAGGTATTTAAGAAATCTGCGTGCCTTCTGCTTTTTTTAGCGTTGTAGTGTTATACGTTCTTCAGTCAAAGTTGTGATGGGCTATGCTGCAGCTTATGCACGCCCCAAGACTCCTGCAAACGGCTTCACTATTCAGGATGTTACAGTCAGAACACAGAAATGCTATATTAAACTATATTCCACTTAAGGGTAGTTAGATCATTGTACTGAAAAAAAAAGTGGCAAAGTGTGCTCATATAAGAAGTTACCATTGAGAATTTGCTTACGTAAGTTCCTGTAGTGCTGATTTTGATCGCTGAAGGTCAGGCAGGTAATGAGAAATCAACCCTTCGGTTAGTTGCTCCACAGCTTTCTCACCTATTAAAGGCAGATCTTCTACTACTCCTTCATCTGGAGATGCAGCACTAGGACCTACGCCAGAGAATGACAAGGTTGAACACGATGGGTCAGCACGCACCTCAAGTTCCACCCGGGCAACCACGTTGCCCTGTTTAAAGAATAAAAGCGTTTTGACACTGAAGTTTTATTTCTTTGCACTTTGTCAACTAAACAGGGCGTCCTTCTTCCTCCCCCTCTTTATGCCTCCCTCATTACCAGTCCCGTACCACGACCTTCCTGCCGAACAGCTTTATCCGAACACCAGCAGAACGGAAAGAGAGGAATAGCGTATTCCAAAGGTACCTTACAGAAAAACTCCAAGGAGTCCAGTCCACTGAGAAAACGGAGGGGCAGCATCGGATGTTCTGGCTACGCATCAATAACACCCAAACATCAGCAGATGCTCACCCTCTGCTTTCAGCGTTAGCAGAGTAAGCCTAGGTCTGCCAAATACGGGTGACAGACCCCACTAAAACACCACGCGCCGAACTCCAGGAGTCTCGCTACTTCACAGCTGCTGTGAAGTCGGCACGGGTAACCGACGACTGCTGCGCGCAGAGCGCTTGGAAGGTAAGAAACGTGAACCCCCCGGCCACAGCGCATGGCGGAGAAGGACAGCAGCGGCACGCCGCTCCTTCCCGAGCGAACCCAGCCGCCAGGCCCCCGGCCGCCCTCCCG